TGTCTCTCTGACACACACACACACACACACACACACACACACACACACACACACACACACAGTTGCAGACTTATCTGATTATATCTGTAAGTCACATTTGGACCAGAGCTCTTCAGATTGGTATTTGTGGCCTTCTTGGTGAACACATCTAAAATTTTAAAAGGTAAATGACCTTTCCATGCACCTTTTTTAAAGCCCTTTCTCGCCTTCTTATGTCATAAAAGTTTTTCCAGAAGTGCTTTGGGTAGTATACCTCAACCTGAGGGAATTTTATTTCTAGGAAATCACATGAATCACAAAGACAAGCTGTGTTCAAATCCAGTTTTATTAAAAGTACTTGGCAATTTTGGCAGCATTAAGAAGTCGTTGACTGTGGCTGCTGGATACATTAGACATGAATTTATTTTTGGTTTGTTGTGAGGTTAGACACACGGAGTTCCCTAAGACTCCCTACCCTTAATGTTTCATTAACAAATAGCATAATGCCTTACGTTTCCTATCTCAACCACCTATGAGTCATAGAAAAGGAATTTGTAAAATAAGATTGAAAAATAAAATCCACAGATTTCAAAATATTCTCTTCAAATATTAAGAACATACAAAGTACATCAAAGACACCTACACTTAGTCCTCCTGGTAGCATGGCAGGCTATTTGTAGTTTCTTGTTTTTACTTATTGCTAATGATAGTACAGAGACCAAAGAATTTCCCAAACCGATAAAAAACCTACATTGACATTCTTAGTCTAGAGCCAATAGAATTAAAGGCTAGAACCAGGAGAGCAGTTGATTTGGACCTTTAAAATCACAAAAGATTTTTTTCTTTAATGGGATTTTCTTATGCAGTAGCTCAATATAATAGTCGTATACTTAACGCCTTCCAATTGGTACTCGCCCTACAGTGGATCTAAGTATTGGCTTAGTTCAGGATATTACTGGATAGCAAGTGGCAGGAGAACTTCCTGTTCAAGGCAAAATGTTCAGTGGACCTTAGAGAAAACCACGAGATCCGGTGCTCCTTAGTTGTTCTCCAGTGATCCGGAAGTTGTCTTTAAAAAGAAAGGCAAACAAGAAAAAGAAAGCAAGAAAGCTGTGTGAGAGCCTTTGACATCAGCGCTATAAAGATCTGCTGCAAGAGCTGTCGTCATTTCCCACCATGTATGATCTCAGCTGACCATGGATCATGACTACTCTGTTCCTGTGATAAGAATCTCACAGGGACTGGACGCAGGAAGATAAAGCAGAGCGGTAACTTGAGAAAACCCTGCTCTAGCTGCTCTCCAAGGCTATGTTTTGGTAGGCTTCCTGAGGTTTGGTTTCAGACGCATCGTTTATTTCTGAGCATTGCAATTTCTAGTTAGAGACTAGGAGAGACCGTTCCCCTCAAGGGCCCATTACTCGGAGTAGAAGACTGCCACAGCATGTGCCAAAGCATAAGCATATTTGTGCTGATCACCTTACTCTTATGAGGTGCACACTCTGGTTCTTCACAGGGGAACCTATCATTTTGGCCTCTTCCTAGGACTGAGGTCTAAATAGTATCATTACTCTAAGAAAAAGCACACTTGATGATGGAAACAGTCGTTTTTTAGCTACGTGATCGATCACACTGCGCTTGGAACTTGGCAAAGGTTCACTCTGCATGCTGTTTGCATTGTCTCCGCCAAGGAGGTCTGCGCATGCGCAGTCATAGCAATGACTGCTATGTCCAAACTTCTATGGTGTTCATATTTCCCCAGTACATGGAGGTACAACATTCCCTTTGGGAATGAAGACACATTTTGAAGTTGTTCAAAAACAATGATTTGCATCTGCTTAAATATGTATAAATTGAAAATATCACGCAAGTTAGAGATAATTACGATATAGCCCTTTCTTCCAGATGTATAGTTAATCTCATCCTTCAGTTCAAGAATACTTAAAACATTCAAGTAGCATGTGCAACACTGCCAACCCACCTAGGAAAGGATTGCAACCGAAGGGAGGAAATGATACTTACAAATGGCGTCCTGATTCCAAATTTGCTATGAAATGTCATGGTGACTTTGTTTTTATGTCCTGTCCTTTGATCAAAGGCATGGCACGTGTTAAAAGGTGGGCTGTACAGGTGAAGGCTCACAGCAGGCTCTGTGTGGCTGGTATTCTCTACCCGATGTAAGCCAATGGAATCTAAACAATATCATTGAGGAAGGAACCGAAGTAACAACTTAGATAATATATGAAAACCAACATTTTTTTTAAGTTTGGAAACTGATTGTGGTAGCAATTGTACAATACTGCTTGATGTGACTGAATTATGGAGTTATATGTATTAACACCCAATTAAAAAATTATTCTTGTTAATTACTTATTTTCATGAATCAATTATGATGCACAAAGTTCACTGGAGCCTGAAATCTAAAGGCCTTTATTTGGTTTTCAGAAGGATAGGGCCTGCAGTGAGAGTCCTACTTCTAGCTGATGTCATGACACAAGTCTAACAGCCATCTTGAGCACTTTCTACACTTTTGACCACTGAGCTGCCAAAGTAACCATGGGAAATTTGGGGAAATGGGAAGAGGCAGTTTACACTCAGGACGGACTGACTATCGAGTACCCACACAAAGGATGATTACTGAATTTGACTAAGGCATAGCCTTTCCAAAGCAAAATGAGCCCTAGTGGCGTAGTGGATGTACATTGGGCTGCTAACTTCAAGGCCAGCAGTTCAAAACTACCAGCCTCAGAAAAAAGACAGGGGTTTCTACTCTAAAAAAAATTCACAGGGACAGTTGTGCCCTGTCCTATAGCATCACTATGAATCCGCATCGACTCATTGGCAGTGAATTTTCATTCATTCAAAGCAAAGATATAAAGGACAATTATCACTTTTATCCTATTCTTTCTAGCCTACTTTATAGCAGAAAGAGCATTAAATCATCATCAGGAATGGCAAACAGCAGTCATATTAGTCATGAAAACAGATGAATTAAAGAGAGAATTTACATATTGAAGAATCCCATTTTGTTCATAACCTAGCTGCCAGACTACTGCCGGACAGGATTTTGTTCGATAAAACAAATCCTCTTTACACCAGTCATCATCCTTCGAAGCAGTCCCCGGGCTTGTGTATGAGACCTATCGTCGTGGCACCCTACATTATTACTATGGCCACTTTTTCCTCTTCAGGAGTTGCTTCCTTTCCATTTGTGCCTGTATGCCTTCTGCCACCGTAACATAGGGTCATTCTGGGTGATACTTAGTGATGCCATTTGGTTCATGACCTGTCCACTTCTTGTTCAATAAACAACTTGGTCCTGCCCCTATCTTCCCTTACGTCCACCAGTGCTACCCTGTCCTTTCAGGTCACTATGAATTGGCATCAGCTAAATGCCAGTGAGTTTGGACTTGGCCATCCTGTGTGTATCAAACAAACAAAGCAAACAAAACCCACTCTTAGGCTGTGCATTGCTATCAGATTGAACAAGGCATTCCCAGTTAGCACTCTGCTGACCCAAGAAAACTCTTACTTTAAGCTGGCCTTAGAGAAGCAGCCCTGATCTCCATTTACACTCCTCCCCTGACCAGCCATGGGCTTCTCACTGTCTAAGCAGAAGACCAGGGATGGATTCCCAGCCAATGCACTTCATGCACAGCCACCACCTACCTGTCTGCCAGTGACGGTCTGCATGTTTGCTAGGATGCTGAACAGGTTGCAGTAGAACTCGAAACTATGGGAAAAGCCCAAGCAACCTACTTCTGAGAAAATCAGCCAGTGAAAACCTATGCATCATTTTTGTCAGAAGTCCTATGTGGGGTTACCAAGGGTCTGGAGTAGACTCAACAGTGGGTAAAAACACTTCCCTATCCAGGACGGATGAGCCCTATAGGACCAGTGGTGTGAGCGGCAAAACAGGGAGGGTAAAGGGAGAATGGGTAGGAAGAGGGAACCGATTACATGGAACTGTGTGTGACCTCCTCCCTGGGGGACAGACAACCGAAAAGTGGATGAAGGGAGACGTCGGACAGGGCAAGATATGACAAAATAACCATTTATAAACTATCAAGGGCTCATGCGGGAGGGGGGAGCGGGGAGGGAGGGGAAAAATGAGGACCTAATGTCAGGGGTTTAAATGGAGAGAAAATGTTTTGAGAAACGATGTACAAATGTGCTTTACACATTGATGTGTGTATGGATTGGGATAACAGTTGTATGAGCCCCTAATAAAATGTTAAAAAAAAACCCCAAAAAAACCCCACTTCCCTATTTAAGACCGCTCCCTGTTCCCTCTAGCCAGAACATCCTGCACAGAATGCCAATCTCCTTTGAAAACGCAATCATGGAAAACCCCACAGAGCACAGTTCGACTAAGACACATGGAGCTCCCGTGAGCTGATTCCGAGGTAACTGTCTTTTCTGGTGTCCAGTTACTTGTCTACATACTTCGTTTATCCAACCCAACATTGTTCAGATGGGCACAATGTCATATCAAACTCAGAAGTTCCAACATCTATGGGAAAATAAATCAGGGACTATCTCATTGGAGCTGAATGGCCACAGCTACCCGCTTAAATCACGTGACCCGACCCCTCCCACCACCCCGCCCCCCACTGCAGTTTTATCATAGTGCTCAACCTAGCCTGATCCCGGGCTTATACCATTCCTTATTTTACATGATTGGCTGCTATGGAATTTTGAATTACAAACCCTTGAGAAATCTTATCTAGTCTTACAAATCTAATCCGGTTTCGCAACGCTCAATTATTCTAGCTGAAAGTAATTATTCTGAGAGCCTTTGGCTTCATCCTAAGTGATGCAAGCCACAAAAGTCTTCTTGGGGGTCAAGTCGGCCTTCTGTATGGCAGCCTTTAAGTACCTGAGAAGCATGCACCCAGAAGCCCCATCCACCTGTGCTACGTGAATGACGGGGAAGACGTCCTAGGTGACCTCTGCCAGCAATCTGTATGCCCAAACTCCGGATCTGACAAATGCAGACCAAGTATTCACGCCAATATTGTACTTTTTAAGAAATGCGAAAAACAAAGCGCACCAACAAACCCCCAAAGACAGCTGCTTTACCAGACAAAAGTCTCTAGAATCTCTATTTCATGGAAGCAGGAGAGCGTCCTGCTGAAGAGCACCCGTTTTAGAGTCACATCGTCTGGCTGCCCTTAAGAGCTGCAAGAACTTGGACCTGCTGCTCCATCTCCCTGTGTGGGAATCCTCATCAGTTAATTGGGATAAAAACCTTATCCCTTATAAACTCTAATGAAGTTTTTTGCAAAGTTACTGTTCCCAGAAGTTACCCACTGCCTCACCTGAAAAGCAGTTGACTGTCTAAGATATCTATAAGTCACTGCTAAATACTGTTCTTTGTCAAAGGATAATGCTTTTCCACTAGATATATGCATTTCGGAGTCCTGGTAGCTTGCGTAGTGGTTTAGGAGTTACTGCAAGGTCAGCAGTTTGGCCCTGCCAGCCACTCTGCAGAATATAGATGAGGCTTTTGGCTTCTGTAAAGATTCACAGCTTCGGAATGTCTAAGGGCCCATTCTCCTATGAGCTGGCGTTAACTGGATGGCAGTGAGTAGGGAGTACATACATTAACTTAAAAAAACCCAACAACTGTGGGGGTGGGGCAGGAGGGGGTCCTAGTTACCATTGTTAATTACTTTCATACTATTTGAAAACTTTTCTAAAACAGATAATATTACAAACTTACCCTTACTCTTTTGTTAAGAGATTCTATTTGTAACTCATATTTGACTAACTGTCCTAACTAAGTCTTGGTAGGTAAATAACTTTCCAGTGGACACCAATCTACATGCATATGTTTGTGGGTGGTGGTGGTGGTGGTTCTAATCCAGATATAAAGCCTGAAAAAAAAACAAACCAAAAAAATCCTACCACTTTTAGGACATTTTTACACAACTTGAAATCCTAACTCCCTGGTCCAGGTTACGTGCAACTAATAGTTCAGATAGTAGCTTGAGGTGATTTCCACCTGTCCACAGAAAATGGTATAAGACCTTACCATTGATGTAGGCACACTGGTTTTCCTTCAAGATTCTTTCCGATTTCTTGATCATCTCATTGGACTTTTTGTCGGGCCAGGCAAATAGTGTCTCCTTTAGATTGCCCTGTAGCATCTTCAAAAAGCAGTGGGAGTCGGTGTGATCATGGATACTGCTATATATTTGAAAATGACAACAGAATTCAGAAGATGGTCCATTATCTAGGTCAGCAATAACAGTCTGCTCCCAGTCACAAATGTCAGTCTAACACCTATCTCTCAGGCCCAAAACTAGTTGAGCTGGGTTGTAGAGTTCTTATCAATTTACAATCACTATTGCTCCTGGCAAAGTCACATAAACGCAGTCCAGCTGGGATGCATACCCCTACTAAAAAAAAGTTTTGTTTTTTTTTAAACCCTGTTATAACACTACTTTGATAAAAGTAAAATAAAATATGCCTTTAATTCTCCCCAAAGACAGAGTGTTTACCTGGGTTAGATCTTATAGAACTACAGTAGAAAAACTTCGAGGAGGATATCATCGATAATAACAATGCCTCTGAGAACAACACTTAACAGGTCCGTTCCCCCAGCCCTTTCTCTCTCCTTTGGGGAAGAAGCCTGTCCTCTCGCCTCGTTAGCTCCCTCCCTGCATCGACCATCACCTATAAGTTCTGACAGCCCTGACCCTTTCAGAAGCACAGCAGACCATCAGGCCGGTTTGACAAGGTTCCCCTGAGACCATGGGCCTGAGTCACCCTTCAGGTCTGAAACGGAGCTTAGCCTGAGGCTCAATTTTGGCCAAGCAATAAGACAGGCCTAGGAAGGGGAACAATCACACAAGGTGGTTCCTACACTTTAGAATACCAACCGCTTGAGATTTTAAAAATGCACCAAATGATAATACAGGTGTGGGGCATTATTTAATAAGACATTTCTAGTTTACCATGGCTATAATTCGAGTTGATTACATTTCCTTTTTGGTGTTGCAGAAACATGAAATATTGATGAAGCACCGTTATTTTGATCTGGAGTTCTTCACATGATAAATCATTAAAAGCTTACTTACTAGAACAAAGAAAGAAAGAAACCCCCACGGAGCTGTTCTGCGCTGCGAATGTGGGGTCATTATGAGTCAGCATCGACTCAATAGTAACTTACAAGAACAATGACATCATTGACATGCCAAGTAGATATTCTATATCTACAAAAATGTAGATATAGAGTTGGTTTAAATATAAAAATCTGTATAACTTCTGGCATTTACTTTATATGCTGAACCCTATTAACTAACTCATATATGTATCACAAGCAGATATGTTTCCTAAATTCCTAAGAGTCTAGTCCTATTCCGGACATACATTCTGCTTCCAAAAAACATTGAATGCATGAAAACGACTCCATTCCATATGTGCCGATAAATGTACTCTAAGGAGCCCTGGTGGTATAGTGGGATATGTGTTAGTTAGGTTGCTACTCACAAGGTCAGAGGCTCAAGCCCACCAACTGCTCCATGAAAGATGGGTGTTTCTATACCCTACAGATGTAGCCTTGAAAACCCACAGGAACAGTTCTACTCTGTCCTCATAGGGTTGTTATGAGTGAGAATCTACTCGATGGCAGCGATTTTTGGATTAAGTAGTGATGTAGGTTGGGCACTGAAACCCATCAGCTGTTCCTCCGAAGAGAGTGATTTGGCCTTCTGCAGCTCTCAGTGCACACAGAGAAAACAGAGGTGGCAGTCACCTTTCCAAAGGCTTGTGAATTCATGTTGCCCTTCTTCCAACAAACATGGGACTAAGGTGATTGGTGTTACCACTCTCAACAGACTGAGAAGAATTTAATTCTCATGATAACATTCTGATTGTTTTAAGACTGGCAAAAGTATAAACTCAAATAGGTTAAGAAGCAAGTTTCAAAAAAAAAAAAAGAAGCAAGTTTCAAAGGATTGCTTTTATTAGAAAATCATTGCTGGTGTGGGAGAAAATGTGGAATAGAACTCAAAGTCAAAAAAGAGGCCAGGCCTTGGTTTTCGCATTTATTAATGTATCCACATGTCTATCTAGATAAGGTGAAAAGAACAGGACCAATGGTTCCAGGGTGATACGGGAGAAGGGGAGGTGAGAGAAAGGAAGGAGAGGGGAGACCGACCCAGGAACAAGGGAAGAAGTGAAATAAAATCAATGGAAGGAAGGTCATAGGGTGCCTAGTGGGGCTCAATCAAGGGCAATGTAGCAGCGAGGAATTACTAAACCTAAATGAAGGTCAAGCATGATGGTGGGACAAGAGGAAAGTAAAAAGGAAATAGAGGAAAGAACCAGGAGGCAAAGGGGCCTAAATGCAGGCATGTACATATGTAAATATATATATAATTAAAGGGGAATAGAACTATGTACTCATATCTATATGTTAAGAACTAAGGTTACAGATGGACATTGGACCTCCACTCAAATACTCCCTTAACACAAGAACAATTTGTTCTAACAATCCGACATTCTGTGATGTTCACCTTCTTGACGTGATCCCTGAAGACAAAATGGGTGCATAAGCAAATGTGGTGAAGAAAGCTGATGGTTCCTGGCTATCAAAATATATAGCATGTGGGTTCTTAAAGGCTTGAAGATAAACAAGCGGCCATCTAGCTCAAAAGCAACAAAGCCCACATGGAAGAAGCACACCAGCCAGTGTGATCATGAGGTATCAATGGGATCAGGTATCAGGCATCTAAGACCCAGAATAAAACCATACCCAAGGTGAATGGGGGTGGGGCATGGAGTGGAGATCCAATGCCCATCTGTAGACAATTGGACATCCCCTCACAGAGGGACCACAGGGAAGAGATGAGCCAGTCAGGGTGCAGTATAGCACCAATGAAGTACACAATTTTCCTCTAGCTCTTTGGTGCTTCCTTCCCCCCACTATCACAACCTCAATTCTACCTTACAAATTGGATTAGACCAGAACATGCACACTGCTACAGATAAGAGCCCACAACACAGGGAATCCAGGATAGATTAACTCCTCAGGGCCAACAAGGAGAGTAGAGATACCAAAAGGATTAGGGGAGGGTGGGGGCAGAAAGGGGGAACTGATTCCAAGGGTCAACCTAGAACCTCCTCCCAGGGGGACGAATAACAGAAAAGTGAGTGAGGGGTGATGGAAGACGATGTAAGATATGGAAAAAGATAATCTATAACTTATCATGGGTTCGTGAGGGAGGGTGGGTGGGGGAGGGAAGGGGAAGAAATGGGGAGCGGATATCAGGGGCTGAGGTGGGAAGAGAATGCTTTGAAAATGATGATGTCGGCATATGTGCAAAGGTGCTTGACACACTGGAGGAATGTATGGATTGTGATATGAGATGTAAAAGCCCCCAGTAAAAGTATTTAAAAAAAAAAAAGAGGCCAGGGCTACTGGTCAGATAGCGACTGTTGGGAATCCCTTCAGGTCAGGATCTGAACTCACCTGACTTACAATAATCAACTATTTCAGATCAAAGGGCCGTGTTGACCAAAGGATAAAGTTCAGAGAGTTGGGAAAGAAAGAGGAATGGGTACCCGGTTACTGAAAACACAGGGAGGAAGTGAGATGAGCAAGTCATGGTACATTGAGGGGATTGCAGTGAATGAATGGCCTCTGAATGTGCGTGAATTGTTAATGTAAAACCATGAACTGTGCTGTAAATCTCCATCTAATTTATGATAAAAAGCAAAAAGAAAGGGGGGGGGTACCAGTATTTTTTTTCCTGTTTTATTAAAAGATGACCTCATTGGGGGCTCTTACAGCTCTTATCACAATCCATACATCAATTGGATCAAGCATACTTGTACATATGTTACCATCATTATTTTCTAGACATTTACTTTCTACTAAACCCTTGGTATCAGCTCCCCGTGGCGCGCCCCCCCCCCACCCTCTTACCAGTATTAAGGTTGCATTAGAGGGGGAAAAAAATCATTTCAAGTAAAAAAAAACCTTTCTGAATCTGTGAATTGTTTTTTCTAGCTCCAGCAGCTAGATGCTTTGGTCTTTGGTCCTGTGATTGTTTACACACACCTCAAAGCACCACAAAGGTAAAATTTTAGAACAATTCTATGTAAAGTTTAACTCCCATGGAAGACAAGGAAAGGTTAAGTTTAACTGGTTATTAAAATCTTCTTTGATTTACTCTTTATTTTTGGGAACTAGTTTTGAAAAACACCCTATGCTATTTTATATGAGATTTTTTTTGCTGGGATTGGTGGTGTTAGTTGGGGGTGAGGGTGGCACTGTGAACAAATAGTGATGAAAGGAGGTTTGCTAATGTTCACAAGACTTGTAATTAGCTTGGCATGGCATTTCTCATGTTCTGGAATAGATACTGAATTGTTGTATTACCTGCCATGTCCTTCACCCCAACAGAGAATCATTAGGTTAAATTTTCCATTTCCTTGATCCACAAGATTTCGGGTATACCTGGAAATACAGAATCAGAAGTTTGAATTTGGTTGATAAAACAAGAACTGGGAGGAAAAAAAATGTCACAAGTATTGTTGATTAACAAAGGCTAATGTTTCTGTCTCTAAACATCGTTGAATGTTGGTGTTCTAAGGAGAAATCCAGAGCCAAGGAAAACCATTTTCCCCAGTTAGTTCTTCTGGACATTTTTGTATTTTGAATCACTTCATTTTCTGAGGCAGCTGCTCAGTTTTAGTTAACAGCATGCAAAAGGTAATCGGTAAAAGAAAAACAAAATCATCATACTTCGTTTGACAGCCTCAAACTGATAAAGACCAAGAGGTTCTCACAGAAGGTATTTCTACAAATGCAATACTGTTCTAGGCAAAAATGTTATTAGCTTTTCTTTGGTTTTTGATAGCTGCTATTTGTCATCTGCTCACCCCCCACCCCACTTCTCCACCCCTCCTGGTAGCTAAACCAAGATTTAAAATACAAAATTTCATTCACCAGATATTCTAGAATTCTCCTTAGTTTGACTATCACTCAGACACAAACCACATTCAGAAGCATGCATAATGGAATCGGATTTACCGGTGTAACAGAACAAAGAAATGGTATTAAGGAAGTCAATAAGACTCTAAAACTTTCAACACTTAAGAGAAACCAGTCATTGGTTTGAAAATGAAACAAAAACAAAAACCAAATCCCCAGAAAAATAAAAGATGATGTCTCTCCTGTTAATACTGTCACCATCTAATCAGCAAATGTTGCTAATTAGTGATATATATAAATAATTAGGGATTGGCGGTTTTATAGAAAGGGATTTTTATACTACCACCACCAGCAGCCCCCCTCCTTTTTTTTGAATAATTGTTGGCTTGGTTGTGCTTACTTATGGGTTGTTTGTCCCTCCCTCACCCGCAGGCTCTGGGCCAGCTGCTTGCACAACATTATCTCTGAGGGAGTTGCCTAGTGTGTGCTTTTCAGTTGTCCATCTTCTTACTTTGTATCCCTTTATGACTTAGCAAGTGGCACTGCCCATAGCCTTCAACTCCCAGTAAGCTGTTCCTGTACCAGGATTCTCTGACTTAATATCATTTTCTTGTTAGAGCTTACTAACTGGCCCACATATGAACACAAGTCTTGGTTCTTCTTCCACATTGGCTCTTCCGAGGCCAGATATCACAATTCCTCAGTGTTAGGGTACTTTTACACAAAGAGGCATGATCCAATTGAATTATACTCTCCCATCTCTTTCCTTCCGTACATCCCTACATTGCCCACATGAGATTACACTTATTATCCACAGGTATCTTGAGAAGAGATCAGTCAATAGAATTGGTTGTGCTTCAAAAGGCTTAGTGCTTGTCTACTAAGATGAATTCAACCTAAGCAAATACCAAACTCCTTGCCTTTGAATCAGTTACAATTCATACCAAACCAATATGGCAGAGTAGAAATGCCCCATAGTTTCCCAGGCTATAATCTTTACAGAAGCACCCTGTCACATCTTTCTTCCACTGAGGGGCTAGTGGGTATAAACTGCTGGCCTTTCAGTTAGCCACTGTGCCAACATGGATACTAGACTAGTTCACACTCACTGCCAGCAAGTCAATTCACACTTATAAGCGATCCTGTAAATTGGTAGGGAGCAGGCAGCCTCACCATTTTTTCTCAGAGTGACCGGTGAGTTCGAACCACTGACCATATTATTATGCTTGACCCTCAGTCCCTCCTGGACTCCTTTAGACTAATTCAAGTCCCACCCTAATCCCTTTGCTTCAAAACTTGCGCGGTTACAGTTTACCCTCCTCAATTAATTTCACTTGACCAATAATATATCTGTTGCTAGTTGCTCTCCTGCTGGGGTCCAAGAGTCATGGTCATCCCCATGTGCAATAAGAGCAGACCCCTATAATCCAGAGGATTTTGACTGGCTGTGTTTTGGTACTGACAGGCTTTCCCCCCTAGTTTGCTTCCATCTGGAAACGCCATTGAACACCGTGGCAACACATAAGCCTCTAAAGACAAAGGAGTGGTGGCTACATTTGGCAGGGTATCAAATCTGAATCTCCCACACGAAAGGGGGAATTTTACCACTGCTCTCAAAATAGACAGAGAAAATGGGTGTTTTGTAGTAGGATGTGGGTTCTGGGACAATCATGCTAGCTTTGACTCCAGAGGGGATATTTGATAGAAGCAGGGCCTTTGGCAGGTTGTCCAATCTTGATGGTTCCCCACAGCGAGCACTCTGTTATGTGGAGCTAGCTAGCTACCTGGGGACCTACTTTTGAAAACCAGCCATCAAAAACCTTTTACTGAGAGCACGAGAAGAACTTTACCATGAACTGAGCTGCTGGGAATGTAAAACATTTCCTAAAGCCACTTGCAAATGGAAAATATTAAGCAGGCTTCATTTGTTCTATTTTAAATCCTAAAGTAGAGTTGAAACAGTTCTTGCCTACAAACTTTTTTTTGTGTGTGTGAGCAGAAATGGTTCTCAAGGCAAACAAAGTTACTCTAGTGGTGTGTCCCTTCCAGTCTACACTCCCTCCCAACCCCCCAACCCCCTCCATCTCCACCCTCCACCCACTTCCAGCTAAACTGTCTGAGTCTCTGGTTGCTTTTTGAAAAATCCTTGGCATTTATTCTTTAGGTTGAGTAACTACTATTTCTAACTCCAAAGGATTGGGGGAGAGACTGATTTTTACTTAATCACCAAGCCAGGGCTGCAAAGGGCCTTATCTGGGAACCCGTTGCCTTCTAGAACCTCAGAACCAAGGCTAACAGAAGGCAGAATGGGAGCTGAAAGGGGAGAGGCTTGCGGGTTCAAGTGGCAAATTAATGAGGGAAATCTGATAATGGGTTTGATAAATATCTTTCTCTGTGTGTGTGTCCGTCCGTCTGTTAAATTGTTTGGGTGGGAGAGCAGGCAGCAGGAATTAAAGGGTCCAATGACAACTCAAAATGGCTATTGGCAGGTGCCTGATTACCAAGGCTAAGTGATGAAGAAACAGCTTCGGGGAATGGTGCCCTCCACTCTTCACATTCTTCCTGGTGGGCGATGCAGCTTTCACCCGCGGGCACCCCTCTCTCCCTTCCCTACAAAGGCCAGGTCGGCGGGGGCCCAGCCTGCGCGGTCGGGCCGCAGGGGCCTCCCCAGACCTCGGTGCCCAGGGTCGGCGGGTGCCCCACCAAGGCCAGCTGAACCCGAGCCTCGCGAAGCTGGGAAGCATTTGCTCTGGCGGCGGCCGGGGGCTGCAGGGGAGGGGTAGCGAGCTGGAAGCGGAAGGGTGAGGGAAAGGAAAAGAGAAAATCTCGCAGCCGCACGATGGTTTCCCCCGCGGACCAGGCCCGTGGAACCCCTCGCGCGCACTCACTGGCCGCGGACACCAAAGCTAGCGGTGCCAACGCCGCAGCCGGCCGGCGAGGGAGCGTCGCAGCGAGTGCTGCCGAGGCTCCGGGACCCGTGTGGCTGCACTGGGGCGCAGGGCTCCCCGGGGACCATCGCCCGCGTCGGCACCCCCCACGCGCGCTCCTCCGACTCAGGGAGCCGGAGCCCAGCGTGGGCCGGCCAGCGCGCGCTCACCTGTACTGGTCGAACTTGGCGTACTGTTCCCACTCGCCGGGCTGGCTTTCATAGGCTTCCATGACCGCTTGCACCTCCTCTACCTGGACGTCGTCGCCGGCGAACAGCTGGTGGAGGATGCGGATCAGATCGGCCAGGGTTCGTGGCTTTAGCACCTCGGTCGGTTCCATCTCGCGCGAGGCCGGTGGCGCGCGCGTCTCCCGGCTGGGCGGGCTGTGGCGGAGGCGCTGGACCGGGCGCGGGGCTGGGAGAGGGACCCGAGCTGTCCGCTACAGACACGCGCGCGCGCGCACCCCTCTACCCAACGCTCGAGAGCCGAACTGTAAAGGATTCCTCCAACGATCAGAGCCGCCCTCCGGGATTGCCACCGAGCGGCCAGCGTAGACAAACGGAGATCCGATCTGCAACGTTTGCTGGCTCTCCCGGGCCCCTTTTAAGCGCTCGGAGGCTGCGGGAATGTACCAACGGCCACCGGGGTGGAGAGAGGCGGGCAGCGGTCCGGGAGAGGTGTTGGAGGCGGGGAAAACTTGGGGGCAGGGCCCTCGCACGCAGCCTCGGCTTCGGGAGCCCTTCGAACTCTCGCTGGAGCCCCCTCTCTTCCGTTGGATTTCACTGGCAGTGGGTTTTGCGCACCCTCCCCCCATCCTAGAGACCGATCTTGGCTCCCATCCCAACCCCACTCCTTTTGCCTCCTTTCGCCGCTGGGGTTTGCTCGCAATGCTGGGCCAGAGACCTAAGGACCAGAAAAGGTCTGGGAGGACGTCGGGGAAGAGGAAGCCGCGCAATCACGAGGGAACCGTGAACAGAGGATGGACTCCCCGCGCAGGCTGGGAAGTAACTGTTTTGTACTCGAATGACCTATCCCTAGGAGAAAAATCAATGGGAAATCTTCCTTGTTAGTAAGTTTTAACTCTAAGTACAGTTTGGCAAGAGACTTGGGTACGACTGTAAGGCTACTGAAGTGCTGGGGCGAGGTATTCCTGATTCCTTATTTTAAAGCCGAACATTTCTTAAACATAATCCATACAATGCAAAGGGCTAGATGTCTCAAAGAATGGTGAAACGTGGTTTTTAATGCAGGTTTTAAGAATTCCAATCTGATTAAAGTCCTAAAGAGCATGGTTGAAAATTGGGGGAAAACCATTAGCGGGTAGAAGGAATGTGAAGTATGCGTTTTCTTGGACAAGACATTAACCAGGAGATAATTTGGATCTGAGGGTATTGGAGGTTTAGTCTTCTAGGAGATAAAATTACCATTTATTAGTGTCACTGCTGTTATTTTAACCATCCCTAGTTAAATTGATTACACTGCATTCTAACGATAGTTTTGTTAGCTGCCATATCGAGTGCTCTCACAACAAGACCACTGCTTTCAGGCTGGCTGCTTTGTATAGATAAACAGGCCTTTCTTCCTTGTCTTAGTCTGGAAGATCCACCCAAGCCTATATATACATCAAGGTGACCTTGCTGGTATTTGAAATACCAGTGAAAGTTTCTGGCTTCATAGCAGCACACACACTTCTTCACCATCAGATGGGTAGTGGCTGAGCATAACGTGCGTTGGTGGGAATCAAACCCTTGCCTTCTAAACTGAAAGCAAGCAAGGAAGGAGAAAATGAGTCCATCACCATTGTTCAAAAAGGATTAGGGAAAGAAAACACTCCACGCCCCTCTGTGTGTTGCAGGGAGGGATGGTTAATTAAAATATTTGGGTAGAGTAGCTTATACACTTTTCATTGTTTACGCAAGGTTACTTTTTATTCTTGTCATTGTTTTCTATCGGGTCTCTGATTCAGTTCATTTCAAATGTAAAGTTCCTTGTCATTATTTTGAGTGAACAACAAAAATCCAAATGCAAGCTTAATGTGTCTTCTCTGCACCTCACGAAGCAGTGTCTTAGTTTCTTAACGATGCTTTAACAAATACCAATAGGTGGCTTTATGGAACATGTATTTTTAGTCTGGAAGCTCCAAGTCCAAATTCAGGATAGTGGCTCATGGGAGGGCTGTGTGTTCTGAAATCTTTGTCCTAGCTTCTCTAGTCCCCAACATCTATCTTGCTCCCTCTGTGCTTGCTATCTCTAAGTTCTACGGACTACCAAAAAAAGAAACAAATCTATCTTGGATGAAGTACACACAGAATATTCCTTAGAGGCAAGGATGATTTCATCTCCAGTACTTTGGACATGTTGTCAGGAGAGACCAGTCCTTGGAAAAGAACATCATGCTTGGGCAGCGAGGGGGAGGCCTTCACAAGGATGATTGACACAATCGCTGCAACAATGGGCTCAAACATAAGCACAATTGTGGGCATGGCACAGGACTGGGCGGTGGTTTTTTCTCTTATACCTAGGGTCACCATAACCTCTAATTGACTTTGAGTATCTTTTACGTCTTAAGACCTACTCTACACTGGTCTGACCTCAATAGCATAACAGAGAAAAACATATCTCCAAATGAGTTGTCAGCCATAGGAATATGGGTTCAGATTCCAACACACATTTGGGAAGGGGGGCACACCTAAATTCCCAACAACAGATCCTTCCTCTTTACATTTTTACCACTTTTTCTAGCTTTTCTCCTGCATCTCTCACAAGGTCAGAGTCAGTGGGGACCTGTTAGCACCTAACAGTTCAAAATTTGACTTGCCAAGACCTACCTGTATTGGCACCCAAATGCAGCTTGTTTGAAAATTTTTCAGGACAGTTTCCCACTTCTGGAGGTTCTATTTCAGCAGCAAATGACCCAGGCTCAAACATCTCTTTCAGCACTGCCTACTCTTTTTGATTGCTTTCCCCCTGAACTCTCTTAACCAATGACTAAGTTTTGAATATCCATCATCTGTTATGCCTTCCCTCCTTTCCTTCCCTATCTCTACTCCACTTGCATCTTGGCTGACTTACTGAACTTCCTAGTCTCAGCTTTTCCACATGAATCCCTTATTCACAGCTGCTAAAGCACAGTACTGATGTCTTCAGGTCAGTAGCTTTGTCATTCTGGTATTGAAGTTCATGTTTTGGCTCTAAACTACCTTTTCTTCCTTTTTTTTGGCGACATATTATTGATGAATGACATAGAAATGTAAAGCACCAGTAGATGGACATATCATTCACTAGTATTTTCTCATCTTATTTGTGTATCTAGTGCACATGGTAATAATTCCTTTTCCTTTTTAATCATTTTATTGGGGTCTCATACAACTCTTATCTCAATTCATACATACCAATTGTGTAAAGCACAGTTGTACATTCATTGCCCTCATTGTTCTCAAAACATTTTCTCTCCATGTAAGCCCCTGGCATCAGCTCATTTCCTCCCTCGCCCCACCCTCATGAACCCTTGATAATTTATAAATTATTTTGTCATATCTTACACTGTCTGAAATCTCCCTTCACCCACTTTTCTGTTGTCCATCCCCCCAGGGAGGAGGTTATATGTAGATCCCTGTAATGGTTCCCCCTTTCCACCCCACCCGACCTCCACCCTCCCAGTATCTCCATTCTCACCACTGGTCTTGAAGAGATCATCCGTCCTGGATTCCCTGTTTAAACTACCTTTTCTTATGCTTTACAAATCCATTCCTTTTGCTTTGATTCTCGGCCATTTCACCACATCCAAATCCTACTTTAGGAGCACTGGTGGTGCGCCTTCGCCAATGGGGCTGCTAACAACCACAAGGTCAGCAGCTCAAGCCTACCAGCTGCTCCATGGGAGAAAGAGGAGGCTCTCTGACCCACAGATTTACAATCTTGGAAACACTATTACTTGGAATTCACTTGAGAGTAAATCTACCTTTAGATTCAGCTCAACTGCTTTGCTCTCACATGACTTTTTCCTTCCTCCTCTTCTAAACAAGAGGGAGCAGTGATGGCACCTTTCTCAGCATGCACTGCACTTATGCCAGTCATCTGGGCAATAAGCATATTAAGAACAGCCAACATTTAAAACTTCATCTTCAGGAGCAGCAAGGTCCCCAGGGAATGCTAAAGGTGGACTTTGGGGCCAGGGCATGGTGCCCCAACAGACTGGACTGGAAAACACTCCTAAAGGCCAGCGATCCTTGAACTAACTACAAGCTTTTCTTTCTTGGTGTGTTTTAATTTGTTCTTTGTCAGTGGTTTGTTGTTG